GGTCTGGCAAGGTGGCCTTATACCTGCCTGGGCTGGGGACAGGGGCACCAGCCATTGGGAAGTCTCCACCCACATCCTGTTCCCGTTAGGGGCTGGACCTGAGCCAGGCAGGGGAAAGGGAAGGGTCAGGATTGCAAAATTGCTTCCTGACAGAGTGAGGACAGAAGGTGGGCTGCCCACCGCCTTCTCGACCCTGTTTCTACCTAGTTTTTCTTTCCCCTGAGTCCTGCTTTTGGGGAGTGGGTACCCAAGAGTCTCTGAGGCTGAGTCCCCACTTCCCCCAATCTAGGAATCAAGGGTCAAGTTTGTAAGGCGCCAGTCTGTCCTGGGGGATGGGGACAACTCTTTGAGCAAGAGGTACTATTTATAATAAATTTGAGCAACCAGGAAGCTCAGTGAAGAGAACAAAAACACACTTGTCTTATATTCATGACATATTCTTATTTTTTTTTAGTAAAATAATTTTTAAAAAAAGAATTCAAAAGCAAGTGATGCTAAAAGTCTCCACAGTCTTTGAACAATGGTCTGGGAGGGACTAAACCTGGTTCTGAATCCCAGCTCTCCTGGGACTGCTCTGTTTTGTGAACTTGGGCAAGTGGCGTAACTTTTCTTGGCCGCAGTTCCCCTATCTGTGAAGCTGAACTCAGTCTCCGAGAGCCCCTTCCATTCTTTCTTTCTTCAGCTGAAGCTGATGTGCTATTTGTTTTGGACTTTTCTCATCTCCTAATAAGTGCATCTGAAGGCTCACACTTCCCTTTGAGAACTGTTTGACTGCAGCTCACAGGTTTGGCTATTCAGTGCTTAAATTCTTGTTGAGTTCTAAACATTCAGGTGTGACGTATTATCCTTATCCGCATGCCTGGCTGTGGCCTCTTTTCCCAGCCCAATCTCTGAAGGGTTTTGTCCCTATTCAGCTGTGAGGATGACTAAGCATTCTGTCTTAGTGGACATACGGGCTGAGAGGGAAACACACAGGCTGGCATAGACCGGCACAGATAAAGACAGACAGATAACCACCTGCGTGAAATACACGGACATACATAGTGACCAAGAGACAGGGAAAAACACATAGACCCAGAGACACAGACAGGGCAGGACACACAGGAGAGAACAACATATCTGCAGAGATGGACACACAAAAACAGACACACACACAAACAGGAAAAGGACCTGAGTAGACGTTTTTCCAAAGAAGACATACAAATGGCCAACAGGTACATGAAAAGGTGCTTGACATCACTAATCATCAGGAGAATGCAAATCAAAACCACAACGAGATGTCACCCACACCTGTTAGAATGGCTTAATCAAAAAGACGAGATAAGAAGTGTTGTGAGGGTGTGGAGAAAGGGGAACGCTTAAAAAAAAAACAAAACAAAGGGGAACCCTTGTGCACCGCTGGTGGGAATGTAAATTGGTGCAGTAGGGAGTTTCCTCAAAAAAAATTAAAAATAGAACTACCATATGATCTGGCAATCTCACTTCTGGGTATGTATCCAGAGGAAATGAAACCAGTATCTTGAAGAGATATCTGCCCTCCCGTGTTCATTACAGCACTATTCACAATAGCCAAGACATGGAAACAACCTAAGTATCCATTCACAGATGCATGGATAAGGATGTGGTGTATATATGCATAATGGAATATAATTCAGCCATAACCAGGAAGCAAATCCTGCCCATTTGGGACAACATGGATGAAACTTGAGGGCATTATGCTAAGTGAAATAAGTCAGGCAGAGAAAGACAAATACTGAGTGATCTCAGTTATATAAAATAACCAAATTCATAGAAACCAAGAGTAGAATGGTGGTTGTCAGGGACTGGGGGGTGAGGGAAAGGGAGAGATGTTGGTCAAAGGATATAGACTCCCAGCTCTAAGATGCCTAAGTCCTGAGGATGTAATGTACAGCGTGGTGATTAGTTAACAAGACTGTACAGTATACTTGAAAGATGCTAAGAGAGTAGATCTTAACTGTTCTTACCACACACACACAAAGTAACTATGTGAAGTAATGGATGTGTCAAGCTTATTGTCATAATTATCTTACCATATATATCAAACATATCAAATCATCAAGATATGCACCAGAAACCTACACAATCTTATATGTCAAATATATTTCAATCAAGCTGAAAAAACAGACACACAGGTACAGGAGGAGCTGCTAGATGCCGTCATGGTGTTTTGTGTTTCTTTGTTTCAATCAGTCTCCCCATGATAAGCGGTGGACAGGGGTTCTGTCCTGTTCATTGTTCTACCCCCAGAGCCCAGCACACAGTAGGTGCTTAATCGACATGGGCCGGAAGAGTTGTGAATTGTAGTGACATAATGCTAACGTGATCTCTTAAAGTGAAATCAGATCATGCCCCCTGCTTAAAACTCTCTGATGGCTTCCTGTCCCACTTAAAATTCATAAGGCTGGAGGGAGCAGGGAGTGGGGAGTTAGTGTTTCATGGGGACAGAGTTTCAGTTTGGGAAAACGAGAAAGTTCTGGAGATGGATGGTGGGGATGGCTGTACGACAGTGTGAATGTGCTTAATGCCACTGAGCTGTGCACTTACAAATGGTTCAAGTGGTAAATTTGATCGTGTATGTTATTTACCACAATTAAAAAAAAAAAATTGTACTCCTCACTGGTGAGGCCCTGCCTGCCTGGGGCCCTGTGCTCCTCTCCCTCCTTATCTTCAGCTGCTCGCCTTTCACTCACCCAGTGTGGCTGCTCCAGGCATACTAATGGCCTGGGCCCTCCTCCAAGCTTCCTACCTACCGCAGGGCCTTTGCACTGGCTGTTCCCTCTGCCCACAACACTCTGCACATCTCCCCACAGCTGCTCCTTCTAGCCCATCTTATTTCAGGTTACATGTCACCTCCTCTGGCAGGCTCTCCTCAACTCCCCCCCACCATACACAATCACCCCCTACCTAACACATTATCTGGCTTTTTCTTTATTACACATATCGCTAATTCAAATCAAGTCCTAATTTGCTTTTATGTGGTTGGTCTTCCCCATTAGGCTGCGAACTCCATGAGGACAGGGGTCTTTGTCTCCACACGGTAGGTGCATAATAAATTTTTGCTGAAGGACCAGAGACTGGCCCCCATCCAGATGAAGACTGGGACCCCCGCGACTCTCCACATTTCCACACCCAGCTCCCCATCATTCTGTTTGCTGCAGTGACCCAGCCAGGACTCTCCCAGGTGCTCCCAACTGCCCCAGGCCAGGCCAGACCACTGTCCAAGTCCCACCCCCAGGAGACAGAGCAGACCCAGAGCCTTGGGGGCCGGTGGTTGTAAACAGTTTTATTGACAGGGGGTTGGGGGAGGCAAACTCCAGAGAGGGTCCAGGACTCTCAGCTGGCCACTCAGCTGGCATGCATGGTCAGCTGGAGGTCAAGGGGGAGGTCACAGAGGATGGGTGGCATGGGACCCTCTGACCACCCTGGGGCCATATTTACAGGGGGGCCCGCCCGCCTTCGCCATCTCCCAGACCGCCCGAGCCCTTAGACAGCCGCCAATACGACTTCTGGGCAGGCCGTCCTGACCCCCTGCCTGAAACCCCTTCCTCATCACCCCTCAAACTCCTAACCGGCACCTTGGAGGCCCCCGGCTTTCTGGAAGCCCCGGCGTCGGCTCAGCCAACGCCCAGGCCGCTGGGGCCTCCGCGCTCGCACACAGACACACACACCGCACGTGGCCGCCCCCACGCACACGCCGCAGCAGCCCGCGGGCACACGCGCACGCCTCCCTCCCCTTCCCGGCCCCTTGCACACGGACACGGCATGCACGCGCGCACACACACACACACACATACATACATACATGCCGGGGGCCGGGTCGAGGAGGGACCTCTGGGTGGGGCGGGGGGGGGGGGAGCTGGGGTCTGCAGATGTGCCCCCTCCCCTTCCCACCGCCAAGCCCCCGGCCGCCACCCCGAGAACGGAGTTGTGCAATTGGTTAGAAAACTGCAAAAGAAACGCAAATTGGAAAACAAACCAAAAATCCACGCGAGAAGGTCAACCTCAAATCCACAGCACATTCCGCCCGCCCGCCCGCCTGCCCCAGACCGCCTCAGGGTCCTGCGGCCGGCCCCGAGGCGCGGCGGGGCGGGGAGTAGAGCCCCTTGTGCTTCCGGGCGGCGGAGGGCGCCCCCCACCCCGCGCGGCTGGGCCGGGGGTCTGAGCACCCACTCGGAGCTGGCCCGGTCTCTCGCTCCTGGTTCCCGTGGCTGGCACCGCCGAGGCGCGCGGCCCCGGCCTAGGGCACGGGGGGCGCAGTCCTGTCCGGGCCCCCGTACGAGAGGAGGTGGGCCAAGTCCGTGCCGGGCCGGGCGTGGCGGCCGCGGGGCCGGGCCTCGCCGCTGTTGATCGTGTGCGTGCGGCGCAGCGCGGCGGCGGGCGGGGCGTGCGCGCCCGGCCTCCGGAGGCTGCCGGTGGGCGGTGGGCTCCAGGGCCGAGGGAGGCCGTCGGCGGCGGAGCTCGGGTCCGAGGGGCCCGTGGGCGCCGACACCACCCGCCGGCGGTCCGGGCTGGCGTGGGGGGTGAGCGGGAAGTCGCCGTGGGAGGCGCGGCCGGGCCGCGCGACGAAGAGGCGGGCGTCGGGGGCCGGCTCGCCGGGCGCGGGGGGCGGCTCGGGGGCGCGGGCAGGGGCCAGCAGCAGGAGGGAGGATGAGAGGGAGGCCGTGAGCAGCGTATGGCCGTGCTCCCAGGCGCGGGGGCCCAGGGCGTGCGGGTGCGGGGTGGGCAGGCGCTTCTGGGGCAGCGGCGTCTGCTCGGGCGTGGGCAGCAGCCCCGAGTCCAGGTCGTGGGAGCCGCCCTGCAGCAGCGTGGCCTTGGCCCACCCGTTCTGCATCAGGGGCGCCAGCAGGGCCTCGGGGGGAACCCCGGGCCCGCCGCCGCCCCCGGCCCGGCCCCCGGGGCCGCCTGCCCGGCGCTCGCCCAGGCGGCTCACGCTCAGCACGGCCTCGCCGCCCCCGTGCGCCAGGATGGCCTCCTTGTCCTTGCGGCGGGCCAGCTCGCGCCGCTCGCGGAGCCCCACGTACCAGCCCACGCTGAAGCCGGACACCACGGCGCCCACCACGAAGGCCGCCACCGACGACGTCACCAGCAGGTTCACCGACACCAACCCGGAGCGCTCCTCCGAGAGGCTGGCCCCTAGGAGTCCTGGCCGGGAGGGCGGCGTGTGAGGGGCCCAGCCGGGGACGGTCCCCTGCGCACCTCTCGCGGCCTCCGGCTGGTCTACGCACTCAACGTCTGTCTGCTTCTCTGCTTCGTGGCGCCTCTCTGACCCTTTCAACGCCCGTCTGCCCATCTCTTTGTCCCCTGGCGTCTGTCTTAAAGTTTGTCTGCCCATCTGTTTCCTGGCCTCTCTCTCTGCGGTCCCCAGTGCCCCCTCGCCATCTGTCGGTCCTTTTCCCACCTCCCTACCTGGAAGTGGGGCCCCCTGCCCTTCCCACGCCCTGACGGTAGCCAGTACCGCCCCCCCCCCACAGTTGGGCATGGGCGGCAGAGGATGTGAGAACCCTGGAGGACCAGGACTCCGAGTCCCCAGGCCTCCTCCCCTCTCCCCCGCTTACCTGTGCAGTCCCCTAAGCCTGAGGTGCTGGCCCCGGACACGTCTTGCTCAAAGTTGGCTCTGATGAGGGCAGGGGGGCAGAGAGGCGCAGTGAGCAGAAACCTCTCGCACAGAGCTGTGGTTGGGGGGGGGAACTCCCGATCATCACGTGGGTCACATACCCGCCCCCCACCTCCCTCGTCCCCAGTACCTGGTGCCGGGGCTGAGGAAGATGCAGGAGCCATCCGGGGCCCAGCCGCAGTAGGGGTCCTGACTGCCAATACAGTTCCTGGAGCAGACAAGGGAGCCGGAGAGCAGATCAACCACAGCCCCTTCTGAGGCACCTCTTACTGTCAACTCTGGGAGTTCTCAAGGTACGTCTTAGCGGTGGGGGCTATTTCTTCCCCATTTTACAGATGAGAAAACTGAGGCTCAGGAAAGTTTACTTTTGCCCAGGGTACAGAGCCAGGGTTGGAGCCCAGGCAGGCCTGCCCCTGAGTCTGTGCTTTGGGGGTGTGCTATGGCATCATTATTGCCAAGTCGGCGGGCACAGGGTCAGGTGCTCTCCAGTGTGTGGAGGGCACACTGTGAGTTCAGAGATGTGCCAGTGTTTTATCTGCATGTGATCTTCCCACCCATTTTATTTATTTTATTATTTTTTTTGGCTGTGCCACGCGGCATGTGGGATCTTAGTTCCCCGATCAGGGCCTGAACGCATGTCCCCTGCATTGGAAGGCGGATTCTTAACCACTGGACCCCCAGGGACGTCCCTCCCACCCATTTTAGAGGCAGACAAACAGCTGTCTCCCTGGTCCCCAGCTTCTGCTCCTGATGCTCTTAGAAGTGTCACTCACATCCCATCCTGCTCTGCCCATAGACCTCCAGGGCTCCCACCTCACTCCAGGGGTGGGGGAAGGAGGCCAAGTCCTCCCCACAGCCCACAGACCCTGCACGACCCACCCCCGGCCCCGTCCCCTCCCTGACCTCCCCTCCTCCCTTTCTCCCCCTCGCTCATTTTGTTCCAGCTATACAGGCCCCCTCTCTGTTCCGCCAACACACCAGGCCCAGTCCTGCCCCAGGGCCTTTGCACATGTTCTGCCCTCTGCCCTGCTCATAGTTCAGTGAGTCAGGATGCTGTTGGGGCCTGGACTTGAACTTGACTCTCTCCCTCTTCCCATGCTCACCTCCCCTCACTTCCCCTGCCCACAGTTGGCCCAGGAGTACTCACTTCATGCATCCTGAGTATTGCTGGCAGCGTGCCACGGGCACTCGGACCACACAGCGGGGGAAGGCCGCCAGCAGGCCACCCGAGGCCGCATCCAGCTCCAGGCTCAGCAGCCGCTGCCCTGTCTCGCCACCCCCAGAGCGTCCACACCTGGGGGTGAGCAGATTGGTAAGACTCAAGGGGCACGCCCTATCTCCCTGCCCACTGGCCCTGTCCCTTGATCTCTGCCCGGCCTCACCTGTCCGGCCGGTAAGTCTCAAACTCCTCCAGGAAGACACTGGGCCCGGTGGTGCCCGAGGCACTGGCATTGGGCCAGACAAGAAACTTGAGGACAGTGCCCGCCTCAGAACCCAGGAAGACGACAGTCTGGTTGCCCCAGGGGCCGGCGCCCACGTCCACGGCCACTCGCGTCAGCTGGTACCTGGGGCCAGGGTTGGGCAGAGGTCAGGCTACCTCCCAGCCCCCTGGGGTCCTGGGCGCACTCAGAGACACCACCCACGCCCGGCAAGGTGGACATGGGCGTGGCTCCAAGGGGACACATCATGGAGAGAAACACACCCCCAAACCCTACTCCTACCTGGCCCTGCCTGTCTCTCTCCCTGTCTCCCTCCATCTCTTTGTGTCAGATGGTCTCTCTCTCCCTCTCTGTTTCTCCCTCTTTCTGGGCATCCCCGGAGCCTCATGCCCAGCTGTCTTGAGTGTCCGGCTTCCCCCTCGTGTCCGAAGTTGGCCCTGTGCCTCCCTCCTTGCCCACCACCCTGGCCAGGGCTCTGCTTCCCACCCAGCCCGGCCACCAGGACCCCGGCCCCGCGTAGGGACTGACCGCATCAGAGTCCGAACAATCCAGGGTGCGTGGCCCAGTGAGGGCACTGCCTCGTCCATCAGGGGGTGTGTCTTGACGAAGTTGAGGATCTCGTCCGGGAAGGCGCTGGAGGCATTGTACTGCATGCCGGGAGCTGCACAGCACCCAGGCCTGGGTGGGGACGAGGGGGTGGTCAGGGTGGACATGGAGGCCCCCACATAGGGGCTCTGATTCACCAGGGGACCTGCTGCCCTGCCCAAAGGGCCTCGGTTTTCCCCACCTGCATAATGGGTGCAGCTGAACTCGGCAACAGCTATTGAAATAACTAACTGCCTGGAAGTCCAAGCCCTTGGTCCAGGGTCAGGATCCTACCCAGGCACCTGTCTCAGGGTCGAGGGGGCTCTCACCGGGGCCGTGGCACCTGGTCCTCCGGCACGGGTGTCCAGATGGACTCAGGGGACTTCTGTTCACGGAAGCGGCCCTCAAACACGGCAGCCACCTGTGTCATGTCAAAGGCGCAGACGGCCGAGCCGGGGATGCTGTGGGTGGGGGCAGATGAAAGGGAGCAGTGAGCCTGGCCAGGGGTGGGGTGGGGGTGGGGGGGGGGACTGCCCTGGGCAAGCAGGTGGAGGAGTGTTTGTCCTCCGGAGCTGTCACATGTTCAGTTCCCTGGGCCAGAGGTTGCTGCCCCCCCCCCCCCCCCCGGTCCAGTCCAGTCACTTCACCTGCTGAACAGTTCTCAGACTGGATCGTAGTTCAGCTCCTCCACAGCTACCCGTGTCCAGGCCCCGCCTTGTCACTTGCCTGCATATCCAGTCTCCCAGGTGCCACCCTTGCTCCCTTTCAACCCATTCCCCAGGTAGTTTTCCAAAAATGCAAACCTGACCTGGTCCCTCTTCTGCTCCTTACTCTTCCATGGCTCCCTAGTGCTCTCAGGATAAAATCCAGGCTCCTCCCCACAGCCCATCACCTCCCTGCCCTCATATCCTCCGCTCTCCCCCTTGCTTCCCTCCAAGCCAGCCACACGGGCCTCCTCCCTATGGTTTAAACATAGCAAGCTCATTGCAGCCCCAGGGCTTTTGCACAGGCTGTTCTTCCAACTTGGAATGCTCTTCCCGCTTCTTCCATCTCACAACCATTGATGCCTCCTCCAGAAAGCCCTCCCCGACCCTTCCTCCAAAGGCAGAGGATGGGGACGCCCCCCTACCCCCATCTGCCAAGTTCTGGCCAAAGGGCCTCGGAGGGTCAGTGTCTGGCTTGGTGCCCCCTGGCCTGGGACCGAGGCCTCCCGGGAGTCAAATCTTGCCCAGTGCAGAACCCAGGGGATATGTGGTGAGGTAACATGGGAACTCTCCGCCCGTGCCCACCCGGTGCTCCCAGTCTGCTCCCGACGGTGCCCGCTGACCTGTTGCTGGGCGTGGAGAAAACAGCAAGGACCACGGGCCGGCCCCCCAGGCTGACCACGCCCGTGACGGCCCGCAGCACGTTGAAGTAGAAGTGGGAGTCCCCTGGCACCGAGCAGTTGAGCCGTGCCTTCAGGAACGACGTCCACTGCTTCTCCAGCACGCGAGGGGAGCCGCCCACGTCATTCTTGCACACCCGGGCCACACGGGACACCACCACCTGGCACATCAGCGGCGGGGGGGGGGGGGGGGGGGGGCGGGGGCTGAGCCCTGTGTTCCACAAGGCCTGCCCGCAGGTCGCACTGCCCGCTACCCAGGATGGGATGCAGGAGCCTGGCCGTGGGTCACTGTGGGTGCCCCAGCCAGTCACCTTAGCCCCCCGAGCACCAGATTCCCCAGCGAAATGTGGGGATGACGATGATCACAGCCACCACGACAAGCGTAATCATCATCGCTTCCACTTACAGATCACTCATTAAGTGCCAGGCACTTTATCCTCCTCATCTCTCACGTTCCTCCCAAAGCTCTACAGAGGAGGGCCTACTGATATCCCCGGGGTACAGAGGGGAAACTGAGGCACAGCGAAAGGAAAGTGACCGAGGCCCAAGGTCACACTAGTAGTAAGTGGCAGTCTGTGCACTCAAATGTCTCCGTGGATTGAGGGATGGGATGGATGGATGGATGGATCAGTGGATGGATGGATGAATTTGAAGGACACAGTGATGGACAGTGAAGATAAGGAAGAAGGAGATAATCAACTGATGGATGAATGGGTGTGTGGATGGATGGGTGGCTGGCTGGATGGTTGGATGAGTAAATGGGTGTGAGTCTGCATGAATGGAGAGATGGGTAGATGAATGGGTGGGTGGATGGATGGATGAAAGGATGGATGGGTGGACAGATGGATGTGAGTGTGGATGAGTGGAGAGATGGGTAGAGGAATGGATGAATGGCTGGATGGAAAGGCAGATGAAGGAGGTAATGACAGATCAGTGGATGGGTGGATCCATGGGTGGATAGAAGGTTGAATGGAGTGGATGAGCAGGTGATGAGGAGGAGATGGGATAGATAATTGGATTATAGAGGGGTGGGCAGGTAGGTGGAGAGATGGATGGTAGATGGATGAGCTGATCAGTAGGAGGATAGCTCAGTGGATGGTTAGGTGTATGAATGAATGGACAGGTAGGTGTATGAATGGATAAAGAAGTCAATGAGTGGGAGGTGGGTGGATGGATATATAGGTGCATGGAAGGGTAGATGAGTGGACGGATGGATGGAGGATGGCTGAGTCGGGGTGGGCGGATGGATAGATAAGTGGTTTGATTGGAAGTGTGGGTGGGCTGAAGAACAGATAGGTGGGTAGGTGAGAGGGCGGCTGAGTGGGAGAGTGAGTGGGCAGACAGATGGGCTGCTGAGGAAGGATGGATAAATGATGGCAGATGGGTGGGTGGACAGGTGAACAGCAACGGCACTGGGACTGGAATCAGGGGTGTATCTGACTTCAGACCCGGGACCCTCACCCAGGGCTGCTCCAGAAATGTCTTCAAGCCCCAGGGGCCTGGGCCCGGCTAGAGTGGAGGGCCCTGAGGACCAGAGGGACACTCTCGCCCCAGGCGGAGTTTCACGGAACCACCTCTGCTCCCCACTTCCCGAGATCAGAGCCTCTCAGCTGCATGCCCCACTGCCTGGGCCTCTTTGGGAGGGGAAATAGGGCCCTACCTTTTCCAGGTAGTTAAACTCCATTGCGATCTCCCGGAAGAAAAAGTAGATGTGGCTGCCCCACTCCACCACGTGGACAAAGTAGGGCTCTGTAGGAGACGAGGGGTCAGAACTCAGCCCGTGACGGGAGAAAGGGAGTTTCTGGGGCTGGGAACACAGTAGCCTGGGTGGCTGCTTTTACAGTGAAGGGGGGAATATAAGCTGATTACCCGGGCAAAATAAAAGAGACCAAAGTTTTGGGGTTTTTTTGGAGGGAGTAGGTGTCAGAATCCTAAAATCACCGTGTCTTCTTTCCACAGACAACGTCTACTGTTTTGTCACCTTCCTCCTTCACGTGTTGAGCTGAGCTCCTACCATACCGCTCATGCTGTCCCACTTCAGGTTGCTAAGCCACCCATTTCCAGCAGGCTCTACTTTAGATCCAACTTAAATCTTTCTTCTAACTTTATCTTCAAAGAGGCTAGTAGGTTCCAAAGACGAGATGGGAGCTCCCTGCCTGTCTCCTCTGGGACTGTTATTCTGGTGGGGGAATTTGATGAATGTCAGCCCTACCAGGTCTGCCCCTATCGCCCCACCTTTGAACCACTTGGAGTCATGTTTCACGGTGCGCAGAGTGGGCCGGTCCCCGAGGCTGCGGTAGATGACGGCATCGATGGCTAGGAAGTCGGTAACGGTGGCTGTGAAGAGCATCCCTTCTGGATGGGGGTGAGTCAGGGGGAGGCAGGTGAGAGATTAGATCATAGAGGCCGGAGGCTGGGTGGGTCAAAACTTGACTTCAAGACTGAGCCCTGAGCCTAAGTGAGCCCTAAGCCCCGGGCTGAGCCCCAACTCCTCAGCTCATCCCCAACCTCGGCTGAGCCCTGCCCTTGAGATTCTGCCTGTTTCATAGCTGGAGAGATGGTCTCCCAGCCATCTTCTAAATGACCTGACTCCACGAGTGGAAAATGCCATGTCTTGCTGTGGACTGGGGCCCCATCAGATGGTCAGAGTTGGGGGCACTCACCAGAGAAGAGGGCAACATTGGCGTGTTTGGGGTCGTATGGGCAGCGGGCCATGCCACTGATGTTGTCCCCGAGGGGCTGCAGTGTGTCCATCTGCAGGGGGGACAGGGACTGAGTGACAGAGCTCCTGTCTATACCTAGCAGCCCCTGGCTCCTCCAGCCACCCCCTCCAAGGGGACTCCTGGCGCCACCTTGGATGTTGTGTGACTTGGTCAGTCATTTAACCTCTCTGGGACTCAATTTACTGATCTGTAATAAATGGGTCTGAATCGATCCTAATTCATCCTATAACTGGTTTGTAGTTTAAGTTGCTGCAGCCTGTACAGGCCTCCTTTGGAAGACTCCTCTGGAGCTCCGGGTGAGGGGTCTGGGAGGGCATATCCAGTAAGGCTTCCTGTAGGAGATGATGTGGCCTGGGGATAGGGCATGACCAGTGGAGGGCCAGTGAGCAAAGGCGTGGAGGTTGAACCTGGGGCAGTCAGGGCTTCGAAGAGCGGTGACTCACGCTGTAGTTGGCACACACGGGGTTGAAGGCATTGGAACCACACACGAAGAGGGTGGATTCGTCCCGAAGTAGAAGCACCTTTACAAAATTTCGACACTCGCCCTGGATTGGGGCGGCGGGAAGAGAGAAGCCAGGGTGGGTGTGGTCACGGGTGTGGGCGGGGTCAGGAAAGAGGCGGGGCCTGCAAGGAGGGGCCAGGGATGTGGGCATGGCAAAATCAGGGGGCTAAACTAGGACTCGGCTGGGGGCGAGGCCATGACTAAGGCAGGGGCCCAGACAGGGAAATAGGGCACTTGAAGGGGTGGAGCTATGGCAAGACGAGGGCTAAGGGCACGGCCACGACTGAGGACCACTTTGGGGCTGTGGCCAGGCTCTGGGAGTAGCCATGGCAACACCAGGGCCCTGGCTTAGAATGAAAGCAGAAGATTTGCCCTGGAGGGGTGGCCAGGACGGATTGGGGCGTGGTTGGAGGCGTGGCCAGGGCCCACTTACCTCCTGCTTGCCCTTCATCCGACACACGTTGATGTCGCTGGGGTTGGAGCGCCAGGTCAGCTTCTGGGACACAGAGAGCTGGTGAGGTGAGCGGGGTCCTTGACAGCCCTAGGAACCCTGCTAGGGAGGCCCGAATCCACCTTGCTCCCCAGCTCAGTGTACGGGCCCCCTGGCGGGAGCCCCAAGAATTGCCCCCTCCCCTCCCTCCTGCACCCCCTCCTCACCCGCTGGTACCGCAGCTCCATGGACGTGGGGGGCTCCAGCTCCACCCGGTACAGGTTGTCCCTAGAGGAGGGGTGTAGTTAATGAGATCGGAGAGCCTCCCCTCCCCGCCCACTATTCTGACAGCAGACGTGAGGCCAACACGTGCCAAACAGGGGCGTGCCAGCGCCTCTGCCACGTGCAGCTCCGCATGTGCATGCCCTGACACGCCTCCTCGTGCCCTAAAGTGAGCCACGGGTTCTGGCACACCCCACATGCCTTACCACGCCACCTCACGCTTACACACCCCATGGCCTACACCCAACACAACGCACTGTCTGATGCCTTTACATCTGCTGTCCCCGTCTCAGCACCCCTCAGTCTCTCCCAGGCTCTCACCGCTCCCCCCATGCCACAGAAACTGCCCTAATCAAGGTCACTGGCCCCTGTTAAGTCCAGCCGTCACTTCTCTGTCCCCCCCGGCCAGTCCACCCTCGTCCTGGGAACTCCATCCTCACTGGGTTCTTGGACCCTGCACTCTCCTGGCTTCCCTCCCACCTCTCCGGGCCCTCCTCTCTCCCTGGTGGGCCCACACCTGGGTCCTCTGGCCTCTTCCCTCCCCCATCCATACCCCTCCTGGGCCGCCTTGTCCACTCTCAGGGCTGGAACCACGTCTCTGCCCGGATGACACCCACAGTCCTGTCTCCAGCCAGGGCCTCCCCTGAGCTCCAGATTTGGGGTCCAGCTAACCCTCAGGGTCTCCACGAGGGGGCTCAAAGGTGTCTCATACTCCATCTCACACTCAGCTTGGCCACACGGCACCCGACCATCCCCCAAATCTGCTCCCGCCCTGTCCACCATCTCGGCTGAGGCAACTCTATCCCCACGATGTGGGAGTCACCTTCAACTCCCTTCTCCTTCCCTCCCAATATGTCACCGCTGCCTTCAGTATCTAGCGAGGGTTCACCCACTTCTCACATCCTCTATGACCACCACCCTAGTTCAGCCCCCATTACTGCCCACCTGGACCAGCATTGTCCCCTCTGCTCTAGTCTAGTGGCTCCTGCCCTCACCAGTACAGTTTGTCCTCCCCCAGCCGCCACCAGAGGGCACCTGTGAGCACCTGAGTCAGGTCCTGTCCCTCCTCTGCCCACAGCCCTCCAGGGTCCCACCTCCCTTGGGGGTAAAAGCTCAAGTCCTCCCCTACAGCCCACAAGGCCCTGCCCTCCCTGCCCCGTCCCCTCCCTGCCCTCCCCTCCTCCTTCTCTCCCCCTCACTCACTCTGCTCCAGCCACACGGGCCTCCTTGCTATCCCTCCACCATGCCAGGCAGAGTCCGGCCCCAGGACTTTTGCACGGGCTGTGTCCTATGCCCTGACTTCTCCCTCTCCCTCAGATTTCCTTATACCTGGCTCCTCATCAGTTCTCAACTCAAATGTCACCTTCTCAGAAAAGCCTTTGGGGCCACTTCAGCACCCCCTCTAGCACCCAGTGAATTTTGACCAAACAGCTGTCCCTACCTGGTAACACATCATAGCAAGCTCTGGGCTTCAATCACACCCAGAGTTCAGCACCCTTAAAAATCCCACCCCAGGGACACACATTCACACTCCAGCCAAACAACAGGCCCCAGCGTGCAAACCTCCCTAAAATGCTACCACCTACTCCCCCACACCTCACCCTGCACACTCTGCCCGACAGTCCCTCGTACCTGTCCCCGATGAAGAGCGTCCTGTTGACCCGCAGAACCCGCTGGATGTTGAGATCGTCGGTGCCCTCTGCGGGGGTCAGGTGTCCTGGCCCGCTGCCCACGAACACGGGATAGTGGTTCAGGTCTGGGGAGAGGGCGAGGAGGGGTGTGATTCAGGGCCAGGGTGAGCCTGGCCTGGCGAGCCCCCGGGGGAGGGGGCAGCAGATCCAGCTGGGGAGCAAGACCCTCCCTCGGGACTCCCCCTCTCCAGGCCCCCCACTCACAGTCCCTGGGGGCCACGCTGAGTGGCGGCGGCTCCTCGGGGAAGAGGCCGTGGGAGCCTCCCAGTAGCAGCAGCAGGAGCAGTAAGGCCGGGCGGGGAGGGGGCGCTCGCGGGGTCCGCATGGCGAGGTCAGGGCGACAGGAGGTGACACCTGCGAGCGAGGGGCCATGCGGTGAGCCGTGTGGCTTGCAGTCCCCATTGCTGCCAGCAGAGGGGGCGCGAGAGCCGCGGCGGCGGGGACCTTCAATTTCCAGAAGAATTCCCCATTGGGGGGTAATCATTTAAAAATAACAACAATCATGGCAACAACAATAACACCAGCACTTATTAATTACCAGAACAACTTTCTGACCACATTTTAGTGAAAGCTCAGGAAACAGTTTCTAACAACAAAAGGATAATCACGAGAATATTTAAAAAATTAAATGATTTTAAATTAAAAATTAATAATAATAATAGATAAACAGGGACTTCCCTGGTGGCGCAGTGGTTAAGAATCCGCCTCCCCAAGAGGGAAGAGATATGGGGACCTATGTATATGTATAACTGATTCACTTTATTATAAAGCAGAAACTAACAACACCATTGTAAAGCAATTATACTCTAATAAAGATGTTAAAAAAAAAAAAAAGAATCCGCCTCCCAATGCAGGGGACACGGGTTCGAGCCCTGGTCCGGGAAGATCCCACATGCCGCGGAGCAAGTAAGCCCGAGCGCCACAACTCCTGAGCCTGGGCTCTAGAGCCCACGAACCATAACTACTGAGCCCACGTGCTGCAACTACTGAAGCCCGCGTGCCTAGAGCCCGTGCTCCGCAACAAGAGAAGCCACCGCAATGAGAAGCCTGTGCACCGCAACGAAGAGTAGCCCCTACTCACTGCAATTAGAGAAAGCCCGTGTGCAGCAACGAAGACCCAACACAGCCAAAAATAAATAAATAATTAAATTTATTTTTAAAAAATAAACATTTCAAAACATATATTTATAAAAACTTCAACCTCAAAACATATGTTCTAAGAATTCTTAGAACTGGGGCTTCCCTGGTGGCGCAGTGGTTAAGAATCTGCCTGCTAATGCAGGGGACAAGGGTTCGAACCCTGGTCTGGGAAGATCCCACATGCCGCGGAGCAACTAAGCCCGTGCGCCACGACTACTGAGCCTGCGTTCTAGAGCCCGTGTGCCACAACTACTGAAGCCCGTCCGCCTAGAGCCCGTGCTCCGCAACAGGAGAAGCCACTGCAATGAGAAGCCCACGCACCGCAACGAAGAGTAGCCCCCGCTTGCCGCAACTAGAGAAAGCCCACGTGCAGCAGCGAAGACCCAATGCAGCCAAAAATTAAATAAATGAATAAATAAATTAATTTAAAAAAAAAGAATTCTTAGAGTTAAAACACAAAAACCTTAAAATGAAAGTTTCAAAAACCAAAAATTCGAAGGCTCTTGGAATTTTATAAACCACAATCTGGGAACTGCAGTACTTTAGAATAGCAGAATATTCTAGCTGGCCAGGGACCTCAGAGGCCCTGGTAAGTCTGACTTCCTTCCCGATAACAGCCTTTCTGTCCTCTCCTGGAATACCTCTGTGACAGGAGCCTCACGACCTCTTCAGGGGGCCTGTTTCCCGCTCCCGCTCAAGGGAATTTGGAGAAACTTCCAGGTGTGTAGAGTGGAGACCACCCCCCACCCGTCCCAAGTGATGATCTGGTGGGCGGTGTGAACAGAACTCACCCTCTGGAACCCAGCCCTCCACGCCCCTCCCAGAAGGAGTGCAGTCCGGAGGCCCCAAGAAGACACCCGCAGCCTCTGGGCACGCCCCGTGCCTCAGTTTCCCCG